TGCGTCCGTGTCTCCACCCTCTCTTCTCGTTATCCCCTCCCCCTTTGCGTGTCTCTCTCTGGCTCTGTTATTCTCCTGCCTTGACTCGCGCTCCCTTTGTTGGGCTTTCGGTGGGAAGAGACCTGTCTTTCGCGGCCCCGACCGCAGCTCTCCCCCGGTGCCGCTCGACAGTGAGGGAGGGGCTTTCCAGCGGCGAAGGGAGTGACTTGGCCTTGCAATTGGATTTCTTTTCAAGTCCCGGCGCGGGGCTGTTTCCCTCTCTCTGCCTGGCTCCCCGCACCGTCACCTTTTTTGTTCCCTGCTTGGGATGGTTTCCCTAACTTGGTGGTGGATGCTCGGCATGCGTTGGCCCTTTCTCCAACCTGTTGTTGCTTGCGTGCGCGCCTGGTCCAGTCGCGGGACACAGGCGTTTGGTCGAAAGTAAATAAAGGTGAGTTAGAGTGCGGTGGGGGGTGGGTGGGAGGCTACTATTTCTTCTTGCCTTGCGGCTGGAATGACCTGTCGCGCTCCGTTTCTCGCTCACGCTTTTTGCTCTTGATTTCGCCGCCCGCTAAACAACATCTCATAAAAAAAGAGTGCGGTTTTTCGAAAGGTGCCGAAGCGAAACGTTTTCCCTGCATGTAGTAGAGAGAAGGATTTGGTCGTGGCCGTAGAAGGATGAGGGGAGGTGGAGTGAACGGAGGAGCACTTTCCAGTGTACAAACTATTGTGACGCACTTTTACAACTGATTGCTCTTGCCAAACCTTCCAGACTTGCTGTGATCAGCACATTCGATAGAACAATGGAGCGAGAGCCTGGCCGACTTCCCCGTCCTGCACAATCACCACATCGACTCCTCACTTAACATTTCAACACTGTATCTGATCCTCCTGTCTAGAATTGGAGGGCCAGAGGGTGGGGATCCCGAGTTAATATGTCAGCCCCCCCTTCCTTTTTAAAAGAAAGCCAGTTGGTTCCTCTGCCCTCCTCTCTCAAAAGATCAGACCTGGAATACTGCTTAGCTGGCCCCCAGGTTTTGTCTTAGAAACTTAGTTGCTGTTTTCTTTTCAACAAGCTCCCCCCGCCCCCACAAGAGATGTTGGATTGGATACAGCAGAACACCTTTGCCAGTTATTGGTTTTTATTTTACTTAAAAGTTTGACACACAGGGAATTAAGACTAATTTAATTAAGATTTGAAATCCTGGGGGAATGTAAAATGCCATGGGATTTGTATTGCTAATATTCTGGTTCTCATTTCTATCTACTGCAAGTCATCACTGTTATCAAGTTTGAATGAACTTTATGTGTAATTTGAGATGTTTCTCTCTTTTTTTTCCCCCTTATTTCTTCCAGGGTTGGGGGAAAAGAAAGACCAAATGGCAAAACAATCTTCTGATTTAAATTCTGAGTGTGATAGAGAAGGTGGACAATTGCAGCCTGCCGAAAGGCCAGCTCAGCCTCATCACCTTCGGCCTGGGGCCCCTACCTCCTTACAAACTGAATACCAAGGTAATCATTTGGGTGAGCGGGACAGTTCATCACCCGGTAGCCCTCAGGGACCACTGGCACCACCCTCCAGTCCCAGTCCATTTGCTACCAGATCCCCGTTGTTCATGTTTGTAAGAAGATCCCCACTGCTGTCCAGATCCTCCAGTGGGTATTTCTCTTTTGACATCGACAGGAGTCCTGCACCTATGAATTGTGACAAAGCTACACAGACTCCAAGTCCCCCGTGTCAAGCCATCAATCATTATCTAAGCGCAATGGGTAAGCAAGAGCATGGTAAGAAACTTTTACACTCATATTTGAAATACAGTCAGCACCTCCTACTCCCTTTTGAAGCCTGTGTTTGTGGTTTGGAACTTAGGTCTCAAGAAATCAGTTTGTCTTGTGTAGTACGAGAATTCCAGTTCAAGGGGAACTTAAAATGTTGGATTGAGGAGATCCAGGTTCAAGTCCCTACCCAGCCATGAAGCTTACTGGGTGATCTTGATATCATTAACTTTCAGCTTAAGCTTATACAGGCATAAAAAGAGGGGAAATAAAAAAGAGAAAATGAAGGTTTCTGAAGGAAAGGCAGGGTACAAATGTAATAAATTCTAGGCAGAGTTTGAAAATTTTGTGGCTAATCCTCTCATATGATGAATAGGGATAATACAACCCTACAATATCCAATACAATGAGGAATTGGATAAACAACCAATTTATGGGGTTGTTTGTAAAGATCACTAGATAATATTGAAATGTTTTGACTTTTTTACATAAATATGCAAAAAAAATTAAAGTAATAATAATGAAAATAAAAAGATGTGTTTTCATAGGGATAACTTTTTGTAATATAGAAAAAAAAAATAGGCAGAAAGTCCAAATGAACCAGAAATTGCCTTATAGCTTGTTGAAAATATAACTCTGCCCTTTTGTTTGGGTACTGTTGTTAATGTTTGTGGCTGTTGGAAGAAGTAAATTGCATTACCGCATGGAAACGGCATTTGTAGGGTGAGTGTTTGAAAATGATACATAGTAGGAGTAGAATGGAGGTGATGATCAAGGATTAGGACCTTGGTGCACCAGGAGGTGACTTTAAATCTTCATTCCTTATTACAAGTGAAGATCACAGTCTCACGTGGTTATTAGTCCCAGGAGGGGAATTCCCATTGATGCCAAAAACCACTTCCATCTTGGGGCAGATAGCTCTGAGTGTCAGTGCTATTATCCAGAGTAGGCCTCCTGTGCCTGTTCACTCCATTAGTGAAAACTAGAAGAAATGGTAGGTGATGTCTTTAGCATCCCTATAGTTTGGCCCTAAGATGAGGATTATAACCAAAAGATCCAGTGAGCTTCTTCGTCCTTTCTTTGCATCATTTGTGAGTACAGGAGGACAATCTCTGAAATATAAAGTGCCTTATTTCCATGTGCAGAGATTTTGAATTCCATTCAGTTCCACTGAGTTTCCTCCATGCTACTCCGTTGGATTTGCTCTAGTTAAAATGGCCTTTATTTAGCTTCTGGGTGAATAATTGGTTTTCAGGACAATTTTTGTATAGTTTGGGTAGAGGTGTGTGGAGTAGCTGAGTTCTAAAATTGGTTTTACTGCAGTAGTGTTTCTCTTAAACATGCAGTGATCAAGAGCTGTCTTTATTTCTGTCTCCTGCAAAAAAAAAAAAAGGGGGGGGCTTCAGATAACTGGTCATTTCCCTACAATATGAGGTTCCTGCATATGATGCTGAACCAAATTTCTGCTTTAAGCTGCACCAAACTTTCCTCTCCTTTTGAAATAAATGAATTGGTTATATTTTTTCTAAAATGAAAATGTTTAAGGTTTTTTTTTTTTTTTTTTGGCCAAGTACTTTAAGTCATGTAATAGCAGCCTCCCACAAGGCACGCATTCTTCTAGGAGAAAGTGCATTTTGTTATGATGGTTGTCTATATCCAGCCCAGTATTTTAAGAAGAGGCCTTGTCTAATGAAAAATACAAGGCTAACACCAATTAGGTGTTTTGCAAATTGATTCAAGTATGTTCTACTTGGTCCCTACTTGGGATGTGTATGCATGAGGTGTTATAGTGCATCCTGTTCCCTGTACTTCAGCATGGCTGATTTCCTGCTTTGAATGCAGTGTTTATATAGCACTAAACCAGGAGTAAGAGAAGCTACTTTGCACAGATATGCACTTAAGCCACTATATTCCCAAGAGTATATATCCTTTTTAAAGTGGTTTAGGCATCTTAGCCTTATATTGCAGGCATGTTTACCTTCCAGTTTTTACCATGGAAACTGGAGGTACTTCCTGAAAATTCCACCAATCAGAATCTAGAGAGAGAGAAAAAATCCCTTGGTTTTTAAATAGACTCTTTGCTGTGATACTTAACCTCTGTTAGGGCTTAATTTGCCTGGCATAGCTGGAAAAATAGAGTACTGAATGCATCTCAGGAAATCTGTACAGCCTATTGATTAGGTGGTGATAATATATATCAGAACAAAAAACAATATGTAAACTGTAAAATAAGTGATTTTTTGGATTGCCGATAAAATGTATTGGAAACAGTTGCTAGAGGCTTTGTAGCATTTTTAAATATTGCTTTTTCTGGCGTGGAAATGCAGTAATGGGGGAAGTTGCACTTACTGACTCTCTGCCTACAGCTGTTAAAACAGAGGAGCTTTGTTTGGGAAGGGACGGCAATGCTAGTAAAGAATGAAGTTAACAAGTAGAAAAGGGGCATTGCTGACTATTTTCAGTAGCCTGCCTATGTTGAATTAGTTAAGCCCATGGTTCTACCAGAAGTGATTCAGTTCCTGTTTTACTTCGTTTGTTGCCCTCTTCCAAGGAGTTGGGACTTGGTCCCCATAATACGAGAAAGTACAAGATGTCAAAACCATTTAACAGAAGAAAATTGAACATATCAAATTCTGCTACTAAATGAAATTATATCAAAAAGTATTCATGTGGAAGATAGATTCATCAGACCTCCCAAGGAGAAAAATCCAATTTTAGAGCAGCTATCAAAGATGCTATCTTATGTTCTTGTTGTTTAGATAATGTAACTATTTACATTATCAGTTTGCTCAGGTACATAAAAGGATACCATATGGAAGCTGGTCAGGAATTATTTTTCATTGCCACAGAAACTAGATCCAGAAATAAAGGGTTTAAGTTGTAGATACTTAGCTTTTTTTTTTTTAATATAAGGAAAAGCTTCCTGATAGTAAAATCTGTATAACTGTGGAATAGTTTACTTATAGAGTTGTGGGTTCTTCATCCCTGGAACCACATTACAGAAGGTTGGACTACATGATCCCTTTGAACTCCACAGTTCTGTGATTCTACTGTACAGATGTGCTCAGATTTTGTTTAATGGTGATAATGAAAAATGATCTTATACATTTTATAGATGCTAGTGTTGTTGAGTTCAATAAGATGTATGCTATGGACAGTGTACGTAGGATTTGTAGATTAAGTTTATTTCCTGAGTTGAAGAGTTTGGCATTCTTGGTAAGTTATGCTACTGCTCTAAGGCAGAACATAAAGATAATTTCAGAGCACTATTAGGGAGATATAAGGACTTCTGTGATGTCACAGCCACCTTCTGCAGATATTCTAGAAATAGTATAGGAGCACAAAATCACTGTTTGTTAAAGTTCAGCAGACCAGCAAATTGGTTTGCTATCAGTATATGATTTAAGACCTAAATATAAGACCTAAATGGTGCTCGCATATCATTTGTAGTCCGTGGATGGATCCTGGCAAGCAACAATTATTCTTTAAATTGATATTTTAGTTCACAAAGTTTTTTTTTAAATGAATAAGGGGAAATGAGTTTTGAAAACATCATCTGAAAGGTAGTTGCATCTTTTTATGTAGTTCAAAAGCAGGTTGTAGATAATTTCAAACTAATGATTACTATAGTCTATAATACAGAGCAAGTATAATATACTCAGTTGCTGCAATTTGGAATTCCTAAGGATGAAATAAGCATGGCTAAAATGTGCAATATGTTACCGTAGCCTAGTGATTTGTGAAGATTGTCAAGTCTTCCAGTTTGGTTTTCTAAAACCGCAAAGGAGATAACTTGGAAGTACAAAATGACAGATCTTTGCTTTTGCCCTTGTTCTAGCTTTTATATGCAGTTTGATTACTTAGAGGTAGTTCTTAGGATTTCTTCTCTGCTTTTAAGTCTATAATTTGATTTTTTATTGATTTAATATTAAGGTTTTTGAAAGTTATCTGTGTTAGTTTTTTGCAGCAAAACCCCCAAATGACTTGTGATACCTTAAACACTGTTCATTGTTTGGCCCCTATGTATGACAGATCATGCAGAATGAACCATTTAGAATTAACTAGGCAAGTTAGATACACATCTTAAGTAACAGGGATTATGAATTTTAATCATGTTCATTTATGATGAGTGTTAATAAAGCAAAGATTTTATGCTTATTGTATCTTTTTTCTTTTTAAATATCTGAATGTCATCTTTTTTTTGCAGCTTCAGGCAAAGTTTGCATCTGAGTTTAAAATGATGAAGGGGGGAGTTTTCTGCATTATGCAGTTTATATAACCCTTTCTTCATATTTCAGGTAAAACTGATCTTATGTTTGAATTGCTTTAAATATAAACATATTGCTTTCCTATTTTCAATAGGAAATAGTGGTTCACAATCATGATACTATTTGAGATACATATATACTATGAATTGGTTGCATATTGAAAAGTCATTTTAAATGATACAATTAAGAATAAGCACCAAAGATTTAAAAAACTGCACAATTTTGCCAAAGATGTAAATCGAGACAAAAAAGGAAAAGTTTCCTGGTTTGTTTGTTTTTTGAGATGATTGCAAGTTTTACAAGCTCACCAAAAAGAACGCTTACTTTCAACAGAAGGAGTAATTTTCAGGTATCTTCACATCAAGATGATTTACTGTTTATGTCAAATTATACCATTATCCAACATTTCCTATGTGATGAAAAAGGGAAAAGATATCTTCTTGTTTAAAAAAAAAAAACAGCTATGAGATGCACACTATTACATGTTCTTACTTCTGTAGATTACCTAAATGATTTCTAGTGAGTACAGATTATATTCTCCAGAAAACTGGCACTTAACTTTTTATTATACAGGTGCCTTGATAGACACAAAATATGTAGTTTTCTTTTATGTATTTATTCCAGCATTTAGTTCGGTGAACACCTTGATCAGTAGCCAAAGTATTGGTGTAGATTTCAAGTTAGTGAGAAATTACACCTAAATGGTTTTTGCATTAGAGATGATCCTTATGTAGTATGTGC